GTTCAGCAGCTTGAGTATGTTTTGTTCTAGCTATTAACATAACTTTATTAAAAATTCCAGTTTGGAAAGCTGCCCTGGCTCTTAGAGGGTTAGTTGCTTGGCAGTGGATAATGTGAGTGCGACAGGCTGGCTGTGCCTGGGAGTTAGTTTACAGATTGGGACATGTTCAATAGGCCTTGTACTTAATAACTGCTCCTTAAGGATGTCTGGAAGGTGCTCATGGCATTTGCCTCTGTGAAATCTACTCTCTCTCCATCTAGACCGTGTGAGTGGCAGGTACCCAACTGAGCACACACACTATCGACCAGGATCCCAGAGAGGCCAGACCTAGGATGAGGGGTCTAGTGCCTCTCACCAGATGGGGCTGTTCCAGAACTCTGGAGTGTGGGAGTGGCCAAGACAGGTACTAGTGTCCTCCTTGCCACTAATTTCCAGTGGTACATTATCATTCATTGAACCCCACAGGGCTTCTGATGTGTGGCCAGTCCCAGTGTGAGCAGCAGCAGGACCCAAGTTAGGGAGGTGAGGGTGCTGGTGTATCATGAGGGGCTGCTTAACAGCTGGCATGGTATATGAGCCAACCCAGCAGCTGCAATGGTGTTGACAGGAGCAGAGCTCACTGTGAAGAGTGTGGCTTGAGCTGGTGGAGAGAGGCAGGGGTCATAGTAGGGCTACATGGACAACTATACAGGGAGCATAGACAACTATAATAGGCCTCCCTCTTCCCAGAGCTGGACTAGATTGAGTCCCCTCAAAGATGATAACACCCTTCCAGCTAGGTTATGTATCAGGGTGCCAGACTTTCAGCCTACCCTCTGAAACTATGGGTGCTGAGGCTGTCTGGCACCTGTGTGCACATCTGAGCAACATGCCAACTGAGGCCTGACCTTGCACAAGTTCTGAGTCTTTGAATAGAGAAACCCCGAACATCCATCCCAGAATCCCACTTCACCCCCATCCCCCAGGTTGATGTCTGTTTCTTCTTCCATTCGTGTTGTACTTGTGCTACCATGCATTGTTCTGCCCAGGTAAAATGAAGGTATTTGCAGCCAGTTCCACAGGCCTGGTGCCAGCTGTGACCAGAAGCAGCACATTTTGCTGAACACCTGCTGTTCTTACTTGGTCTTCTCCTCCCAGTAAGCTGCTATGAAACTCCACAGTCTGAGAAGTGTAGTGTTGCTGTGGAGCCTAGCTTTAGTTGAGGGCACCACATCTTCAGAGCCAGCATGTGGCTTGATAGCACGTGGCTTCCAGCTCAGTCTTGTGCATTGCAGCCAGGGATAACACATCAGCAATGGTGGTGGGGCCAGGTGGCGTGGGAATTGGAAGCCCAGAAGCTGTTCGGTTAGGGCAACAAAAGAAGCTACTCCATTGTGAGATTCCTAAGACTGGTTGACTTGTCTCCAGGGCATAGGTCAGTTAGCCTAGAGTCCAGGTTCTGCTGGTCAGAACCAGTCAGCAGGTTTTACCTTTTAAAGGGGCTGTAAAAACAAGCAAAGAAAAAGAAAACAAGCCAGGCAGTGGTACTGCCACTTTAAAGCCCTAGCACTTGGGGGGCAGAGGCAGTTGGATCTCTGAGTTCAAGACCAGCCAGGTCTACAGAGTGAGTTCCAGTACAGTCAAGTCTACACAGAGAAACCCTGTCTCGAAAAACAACAAACCCACAAAACAAAACACCTAAATAGAATATACAACAGTGCCTATCTGTGGCTTTAAAAGAAAGTTAGGCACACTTGGGTTGGAGTTAATTCAGATATATCATGGTGTGAGTAGAAAGCAGAAGACAGCTTGAGATGTCATTTTTCTCCTTCTCCTTACGGGTTCCAATGATATCAGATTGTACTCTCTGAGCCATCTTGCTGGCTCAAGCCCAGGCATCTTACAGAAACCCTTAGGCTGGCATTACTCAGTCTTGGGGCTGATGGCTGAGTCCTGCAGAATGCTGCAGGGTGTTGGAAGTGTCCCTGGCCAGTAGCGTCTGTGTTAAACAGTGACTGGAATGGAGTACCTAGAATGATTTGCACACCTTTGTATTGGAGGTTTGTTTTTGTCTTGTCTTACTTTTTGTTTTGTTTTTTGAGGCAAGGTCTTATGTAGCCCAGGCTTGCTATGTAACCAGGGACAACCTTGAACTGACATGTTCCTGCCCACCCTGCAAGAGCTGGTATTGCGAGCATTCACCACTGTGCTTGGTTTCAGAAGGTTACTGCTTCATCTCGGCTATCACTACAGTGACTCTGGAGCCAAATCTTAGCACTGCATTTCGGGTACACAAGTCTCTGAGAATAAAACAGCAGTGGGTCAAAGGGCACTGAGCAGAGCTTGAGGGTTTAGTATTTGTAATTAGTTTTTAGTTTTGTCCTGCCCAATACCCAGCTGATCTGTTTATGGACACATGTCCTAAGAATGTCCCTGTCAGGAAGGGGCCAAGAAGTTGAACTGTGGTCCTTGTTTTGGTATAAGACTGTTTAACATAAAGAAATACCATATGGCTTCTCTTGATAGTGACTGGGCAAAGGTTGAGGTCAAGAGTAACAAAGCTAGGGTTAGGATCAGTTTCCTCACTACTTATAGCATGTGCTGAAAGTGGCTCCTGATAAAATTTGAGAAAGAGGAAGATAAGTAGGTAACTAGTTTTTTGTTATTGTTGTTGTTTTAAATTACATGTATTGAGTGTCCATGTAGAGTTATATGCATACACATGCCAGTGTTCTCAGAGATAAGACATGTTGAATCCCAGGTAGTTGTAAGCTGCCCAACATGGTTGCTGAGAACTGAACTTGGGTCCTCTGGCAGGAAGGGCTCTTAACTGCTCAGCTGTCTCTCCCATCTCTCCAGGCCCTTGATAGAAGTTTATATGGTAGAGGAGATGGGTAAATGTGAGATTTCAGATGTGGCCTGCAGTATGGAGGGACACAGAGGATCGAGTGTATAGCTAAGACTGCTGCATCTCTGCTTCTGGGGGTGTTATGGGGTTTGGAGTGGGCCTGCAAGGGTGGGTGGGCAGCTAAAGAACAGAGTGGGAAGAGTTGAAAAGTGGTGCTCTGGGAAACCTTCCTATTTGGGCTGTCCTGACCCTGCCCTGAGGGCACTGTTCAGCGAATGACTAAGTGGTGCTCACCCCAAGTTTTTTGCCCATCCAAGGAGAGGAGGGGCTTCTTAGGACTTATCTTTACTAATTAGATATTATTAGACATAATTTATCCAAAGTAATCATCGAGAAATGTTTGGTAAGCTATCAGCCTACAGATCTAACTTCATATCCAATGCTGTCCTGCAAGATGTAGTGGCCCTATTTTTAGAGCCCTTCAGATGGAACCTAGTATCTGGAGGTCCACCTCCCAAAGAGGCTGTTGTGTTGTACACTCCCACCTGTTGTATTTTTTTAACTCTATTTTATGTGGGGTTCCCTAGAGCCTCCAACCCCCCAACCCTAGGTAATGAGGAGAGGGGCCACAGACCCTTTTACTTCTCCCGGCTGTTGAGAGTTGATAGGCTCTTTGGGGGGTTCTGTCAGTTTCCACCAACAGCAGATCCCGCAAGCAGTCTCCTCCAAGCGGCGTCATTGAAACGTTTCTCTTCATCTGTCTCCTCCAGGTCGCCACACCATCAGTCTCTGGTCTCTCCAAACTGCCTCTTGCCACACGCCCCACCACACACCACACACCACACCTCTCTTTCTGGGCTCTCATATTTATATCCTCAGAGTCCTAGACCACACCCCTCTTTATGCCACAGGAGGCAGTCTGGTACCAGCTGTCAAAGACCACGCCCTACAGGAGACATTTATCAGCTGTGGACAAACGAAAGCCCAAACTAAAATCCCACACTTAGGTTTAAAATAACATAACTAAGTTTTTAAAGACATCAAAACTTGCGTTATACCTACCTTTGCCCTTATTGGGGCAGCTGACGTGTGAATGTGTGCGTGCATGCACATTCTGGTTTGAGTCAGGGTCTTGCTGTATAGTCCAAGCAGACCTGGAGCTCAAGATTCTTCAACCTCTGCCTATCTGGGACTGGTCTCACATCTGTGTGCCACCACACTGACTTCTGGATCCTTCCCAAAAGGACACGACCAGTTATGTCTAAGAATCATTACTTTTACCATGGTGTGTGTCTAAGTAGAGACAAGCTGGTCACAGAAACTGCAATGAAGTAAACTTCAAGACTGGGCTCTTGTGTTCCAAAGTGCCTGGTAATGCCACGCTTTAGATGGTGTATCTCAGAACTGCTAGAAGTTACAGTTCGGCATGTATGTACAGCCTTCCTTTAACTTTTATTTGATCATTACTGTGTTTTCTACCCAGACAGGTCAAGAACTACTTGCCAGGCTGCTGCTGAGGACCCAGCCTCAGGATAGATTTTTGAACTTGCTTATTAGGGTGTGGGACTGCTATTTCTGTTCTGTCTAGCTTGCCTCTTCCACCTTCCTACCTTCCTTCCTTTCTTTTCTTTTCTTTCTTTCTACCTATGTGCATTGGTGTTTTGCCTGCATGTATGCCTGTGTGTTGGTGTCAGATCCCTTGGAACTAGAGTCACAGACAGTTGTGAGCTGCCATGTGGGTGGTGGGAATTGAACCCAGGTTCTTTAGAAGAGCAGCCAGTGCTCTTAACCGCTGAGCCATCTCTCCAGCCTCCCTCTTCTACCTTTTATTGCACATTTGCAGGCATTGTCTCATAAATCCTTGTGTGATTCTGTCTATTGCTCTCTCCAGCTTCTACCTTCTTTTCATGATATTAGTGGGCCAGAAAGGATGCCAATGATGCCTCCAGCAACAAGAATACCTGACACAGGTGTCATTGTATTAGTGTTGGCTGGAGAGTGGGCATTTTTTTTCCTGTCCACTTCTCTTCTGATTCCACTTTCCTAAGCTGCCCCATGAGCATGAGCTTGTTTTGAGTGTTGGAGATGATGAGCAGACTCCTGGGGGCCAAGTGGCAGGTGTGGTATGCAAAGAAGCCACCCCTGACTGCAGCTTGTCTCTGCTCTCTTGTAGATCCTCTAGCCGCTCGATGGGGAGTCACAGAAGACCGCTTGTGTGTGTCAGATCCCTGCCTCTCCGTAGCAAGAGAAGTGACTACAGCGCCTCCACAGTCATGATGATGAAACTGGTATTAACTGAGTGGCCCTTATGGATTTTTAACTCTAACTCACAGTGAGCCAGCAAGCCATATGTTTACAGTCCAACCAAAAACCCTTCTTCATTGCTGCACGTCTCATGTGAGGAGTTGAGACGCCTGGCGGTACAGAGTGGAACACAAGAGTTACTTGCCAAGGAATGCGCCTGCAGCAGAACGAGAAGACGTCTTAATTTATCATTGGAGAGAGATGATAGTATTATTTATATAGGTAGAATAAATATATATATCCATATATATTTTTTGGTGGTAATGAAAATGGCTCCGCAGAATGCCGACTCAGAATCTATGCAAGTACAAGAGCTGCCCGTGCCCCTGCCGGACCCTCAGAAACCCAGAGACCCAGAGGCTGAGACCCAAGAGGAGACCACAAGTGAGGGGTCCATAGACAGAATCCCCACACGCCTATGGGTCATGCACGGGGCAGTTATGTTTGGCAGGGAATTCTGTTACGCCATGGAGACAGCACTGGTCACGCCTATACTGTTACAGATAGGTAAGTGCAGTGCAGAAGGCCTGACAACTGCGGTATGCAGCTATAACCACAGATGGTAAAAGTCCTTTGGAACTCTGCCATGGGTCCTTGTCCTCTGTGCCTTGACCTCTGTGACAGCTTTCTTCTGTTAACCTGGTTCAGGGCCTTGTTCCTTTGTGTTTGTAAACATTGTGTTGCAAGTCCTAGTGTCAAGGTACTTAAGAAAAACAGGGTGTGGCTATGTTGGGCATGCTGGCTGCGGAGGCCACTGGCTGTACCATCATGGCTGGGGATCCTATATCACAGTCAAATTTTTTGCCTATAGAATGGGAGTGAGTGCAATTCCACCCCAAAGGTGACTGCAGCCCTGCCAGTTTGCCACTAGAGTAGGTACCAAAGTTTTGTCGAACTCTTTAGTTTTCTCTGTAGGCTCAGGAAGTTTTTAAAGAGGTATTTCATCTCTGAAGCATCTAAGATAACTAGATAGACAAAGCATCAGTTTTATTCTAGATTTTCATGTAATCGGGATTAATAGTTTAAAAATCTGTCTGTTTTGGTTGTTTTAGTAATATTTCTTGCCACAACATAACTGCATATTTGCATGATGAGAGCTAACCCTGATGTGCTGGGATCAGTCAGCATGTGAATGTGTAACCTCCCATGAAATCATCACTATCTCTTCTGTCACAAAGGGGATGATGTGGCTCTGGCCTCGGAGCACACAGGTTTCTGTGGGAGCAGGCTTCCCGACGTGGCCGCACTCACTGCCACACACACTCTTGCTCAGTGCCCTGAATTAGCAAAGCAACTGAGATAGGTCTCATTCTGAGGTTCCACTATGGATTCTGGAGTACTTTTCTTTGGGACTCAGACCTTAATCTTTACCATGAGCTCCCAAAGCCAGTTCTCAGAAGGCCTGGGAGGTGGCCAGAGGGCTGTAGCCAGATGTATCAGGGACTCTTCTGGAGGGTAAGGAGGCCTTGAGCTTGACCATGCAAACCTGTTCTCTTGTTCTGTCTATTACTGTGCTGCTTCTCACTCCTTGGGGGCATGTCATGTGAAGGCATTGGGACAGACGGAACACCACATCTCTCCTTGGGTGGCTAAGTCCTAGAGAGGCAGGGATGAATGACCTGACTCCTACTCCCCAGCTGTTTTTGTAGGTGCCCTGAGGGAAAGAAACACAGACCATCTTGAGGATTAAAGATACCTCCTTCTAGGGAAAGGTACTAAACAGCAAGTCCAAAGGAGAGAGGGGTTCTGCTGTGGTCACGGAAGACAGCTCAGTAGCTTGTCCAGTGAGAAAGAAGTAGGGAAGGAGGCATCAGGCTTACCTGGTATTTGTTTCGCCCTGTCGAAGCCTTCTGAGAACTGGCATTCAACCTGGTCTTGTAGCAAATCTGGAGACAGCATGGCCTTTCATGTTGGCCTTCCTCTCATGTTAGGACAACAGTGATGCAATCCACAGCCGCCTAGAACCCTCACACTTCATGGTTTGTACTGTTTCCTTATGATCTTTGGCACATACTTAGTTTAAATATTTATAAATGAGGTTTGTTGTGTGATTTCAGTCAATTGAAGATAATAAATATGTTGTCATATATAACTCCCAAGTAGCTGAGATTATAGGCCTGAACCACCAACCCCTCAGTGACTCCATCTTACTAGAGGTAACTGTGCCTTCTTGGAAAGATCCACATGACATTGAGGGCTACAACCAAGAGTCAGCAAGGCCCAGGGTTAAGAATTAAGAGCTTGTGAGAAACAAATCTTGCCAGTGCTCAGTGGGAAGCTTGGCCACGGACCTTTCCCCAGCTGAGCTTTGTGGCAGTCACAGCCTGGGTCAAGACCTGGAGTGCAGCTGTTGAGAGATCTTGAGCCAAACTACTGAGCTGAGCATCAGGTTTCTGACCCATAGAAATTGACTGAGATGACATAACTGTAAGCCACTCTGCCTTGTGTGCCTTGTCACACAGCCATAGAAGGCTGATGTATGGGCTCTGGGCGTTGTGTTTGAAACTTTATGGCTATACCGTTTCTAAACCCATTTTGATTTAGAACATAGTATTTTTCTGTTACCTAAATATATTCATATATACCTGTATTTTCATATAGTCTTTCTTTTTTCTTCCTTCATCCCTTTTTTTCTTTCTTTCTCCTTTATTTTTTTTTTTTGAGACAGGGTTTCTCTGTGTAGCCTTGGCTGTCCTGGAACTCACTCTGTAGAACAGGCTGGCCTTGAACTCAAAAGATCTACCTGCCTCTGCCTCACCAGTGCTAGGAATAAAGCTGTGTGGCACCACTGCCCTGCTGTATACTTGTCCTTCTAAACGGTGTCAAACTGCTTTAAATTTGTCATTTTACATTGATTGCTTGAATTAATTGAGGGTTGTGGGTCTGCGCTTGCTCAGAGCATGACTTTCAGGAATCAGTTCTTTCCTACTGTGTGGGTTCTGGGAATTGAACTCAGGTCATCAAGAATGGCAGCAGTTGCCTTCACCTACTGTACTGAGCCATCTCACTGGCTTTCGAAGTGATTTCAGAGGAAAAGTTTTATTGACAAATAATTTCTTCATAAAATCTGTCTACAGTGTGTAGTAGGAAGTCTGTCCTTTCTCAAATGTTCAGTTTGCCATAGAAAACTTTCTGGCTGGAAGGCAGCAAGCAGAAGTTAGTGAGCAGAGCACTAGCTCAGATTCTAGCCTCGGAAGTCAGCAGACCTAAAGGGCTCAGTCCAGGGGTAGCCAATCAGATGAGGTTATGCAGGGCTGACTTTTGGCAGTTGCTAAAGGCAGTGCCCTTGTGTTGTCCTGTGAGTACACGCTTCTCAGTAAATTGTCTTTGTTGTTAGAATGTTGCTGGTAAAGCTGGGGTGCAGAAAGGCTATTGAATGACCCATGGAGAAGTCAGTTGTGCTTGCTGCTTACCAACTTCTTTCCGGCTCTCAACAGTCATGTAGCAGACTGCCTCCCTAGTCGCTCCAATGCACCAACAAGTTTTTCAGCCTGTATTCCCTGTGCCTTTACCACAGTACAGCTCCTCACACTGTTGACACAGGGCTGGGAACAATGGAGGAGACCCTCAAGCCCTGTCTAGCACGGAGAGACCAGTGTCTCAAAGGTGTTGCCCACAATATCCTCTGCCCTTGATAATGGTAATGTCTGGTCATTCTGAGCCTCACCGCATCAGGGTTTCCCCCATGCTGGCCACAGGGAAGGGTAGGAATAAAAGAGGCTCCAAAAGCTTGGGCTGAACAGAAAGTAGTATGACCAGCCACCCTTTCGCCTGTGATAAATCTCAATGTTTTCCTTTATGATAGCAGCTCAAGGCCCCTTCTGGGTTCTATGTCATTTCCATTATTTGCTCAAATGACATCAGTGGTTTCTGTGCCTGTGTGGTGGTGATGTTGGAAGGCACTGTCAAAACTGACTCCTTGGAAAGCCTTGGCTCTCCCTCATCCAGCGCTTGTGGGTCTACTTCTGTACCAACCAACATCTCTTGAAAACAGTCACTGAAGTTTACATATCTGAAGTGTTTACACTTGAGTCTAGCATACTGTGAGACCTGAGCAGCTGCTCCTTTACCTGAGCTGCTTCAGAGGCCTGGGCACCTTTGCTTTGCATAGCTGTCAGGAAGGTGAAACCCTAGAGTAGAACATCTGGAAGTCTCCTCACCATAGATTGAATAAGGACAAGGACTATTAACTGAGCTCCTGAATTCCGGGGTCATGGTTTGCTTGGCAAGTGGTTTGGGTTTTTGTTTGTTTTGGTTTGGGTTTGTTTTTTGTTTTTTTCCCACCAAGCCATCTTACTAAACTTTTGCATGTTTGAGACAGTGTCACTGTGGAGTCTTGGCAGCCTGTCCTCAGTATATAGATCATGCTTTACTGAACTTGTAGTAGTCTTTCTGCTTCTGCCTCCAAGTACAGGAATTACAAGTGTGCCGTCATTCCTAGCTTCTCAAGTCCCCCATCCCCCACCCCCATGTGATAGGAAGCTGCCAGGTTGCCTCTTCCAAAGAATCTGTGCAGAGGCAGGGCCTAAAAGATCTATAAAGCACGTGTGTGCGTACACACACACACACACACGCACACGCACACACGCACCTGCCCTGCTTATCCACTATGGTTGGTGGTGCACCCTTCCATTCATAGATCACATGACTATGGCATCTCAAACTCCATGAGTACATGAGTACACAGCTGCTTTTGAAAGGCAGTTTTGGAAGCAGACTGCTCAGGAGTTTATGGGAAACTTCCAGAGAACCAGCCTACCCTTTTTGGATACCCTCCTGTGCTGTGTTCTCATGTTTCATTCTTCCTCTGAGGAAGGGGTCAGCCTTCGGCTACCGTTTATTGTTTTCCTCTTGGCTCAGGAAGTATACTCATGGGAAAAGGAAAATCAGATAACGGAGAAAAGGGTGCCTTTTGTTGTGGTCTATGGACTTGACTCATAAATGACTACTCGGCTAGCGTGAGATCCTACCTGCTCCACTTTGTTGAAGGTTCTGAAGAGTAGCCCACGAGCAAACAGGTCTGTAGATTAATGTAGAGAAAAAGCTTGTTTACTGTCTTCCAATGGAGCACTGAGGCTGGTCTCCACTTCGTGAGCACACTCTCTGGAGAAGCTTCTGGGGGGATAGATGTGTTTCTGGGATTCAGTCAGCTGAAGCTTGCGCCAGCTTTCTCCTGTGGGAAATACCTGCCTTTTAATAATCGTCCACAAGAGGCACTGGAAGATGAAAACAACCTCTGTGCCCTTCCCTCCCCACTCAAGGGGTTGTGTGAGGCATGTCCAGGGAGACTAGGAGCATGTTTATAGGCCAGACACAGCAGCCCGGCACTGAGTCATGAGCATGGTGATTATATTCCTAGCTGTGGCTGAGCCCAGCCCTTCTTAGACCCCAGCACACCACCTCCAAAGCTGGCTTCCTTCCTGTGCTTCTGAGCATTACTTTTCACATTGACGTACACAAACATGGCCAGCCTTTGGTGAGAACTGAGAAGCACAGTTCCACAATGG